CACCAGGTTTAATTTCTTTATTCAGCTGAAAAAAATGGATTCAGAAAAAAGCACTCAGAAATGAATCTCAATTACCAGACATAGGAATAATCAATCAATAAACATTTATTAAGTGCCTACTAGGTAACAGGCACTAGATGTAATAAAAGAGGCAAAAGACAGTTCCTGCCTGCAAGGAGCTCACAATCTAAGGGAATAGTTGGTGAAATATATAAAATCTTTTATATATCTTTCTATCTCCTAATGACCTTATGTACCTTTTTTTTTTTTAACCATTGGGCTTACAGTATATGTATTTGGATCAGTTGCTATTTGGCAGTTAGAAGCCCTGAAATCCAGGGTCCACAGCTCTTTTGATAGGATAAAGTCAAATTGGTTAGATGGCAAAAATGTATAATAAATAAATATTATAAATAATACATATATTGTATATATATATAATATAATATAATATAATATAATATAATATAATATAATATAATATAATATAATATAATATAATATAATATAATATAATATAATATAATATAATATAATATAATATAATATAATATAATATAATATAATATAATATATAATATAAATAAAAAATAAAGGGGACTTCAGAAAGCAGTTTAACAAGTGGTAGAGTATTCTATGTGGTGATCAGTGAGCTGTGACTGGTATCATAGTTGCTAATGTCTTTGTATTCTGTTTATGGAAAGAACCTTCACTACAGAGGTCAATGGTTACATACTTTACACCTGATCTAGCTTCTAAAGCCCTTTACTCTCCTAGGTTGTTTTCTACCTTCAGGTATTTCTCCTTGTTTCACACAGTAGCAAATGTTCATTTTGTGGAATTTCTTCACAAGCATAGTCAATGTTCTTGAAAAGAGCAGTTCATAGCAGTCTGCAGGTATTATTTTTATTTTAGTCAGTCATACCAGCAAAGCAGAGAGCTGGGCCATCGCTTAGAGTATCAGGGGACATCATAACTATCCTGGCAGCTGTTTGTACAAAGATGCCCAAAGGGAACGTGGCCATCTTTTTCCTTCTAGTGTTCACCTTCACAACCAGAAAGTGCCCCAAAAGCTATTATTGTAAAGGGACATAAAGCTGCATGATCCTGAGAAGGACATTTTTTGATCATGTAGTGTGTCTTGAAGCAGTTTAATTTGGAATATGGTATCTTATTTATGGCCATGAGCTGATTTGGTATGATTTGATTTTTTTTGTTTAATATTGTTCTTTCCCTCTTTCTTTGCTGTCTTTGGAGTATATGCCTGGTAAAGGTATCATTAGATAAAAGAATATGCACAGTTTATTGGCTTTGGCTATAGTTGCTTATAGTTTGGGTATATTTAAAGGAGCCACACTGTTGCTTCTGTTGTCACACAAGGATTCTGCTGCTCTCACAAAGTGCCATTCTCCAGCACTGAAAGTTTCTCAGCAATGTCTGGCACACAGCTAAGCCCTAGCCTATGAGTAGATGATCATCGAAACAAAACTTCACACAAAATACAACTCTTCTCTCAGTCCCCAGTATTTGAGTCTAGATTTTAAAACAGAATAGGTCTCCTCATGATGTGGTGCATACTTCCCTTTCTGGAAAATGGCTGGATGAGTCATTAAAAATCTACTTCTGTTTTAGAAGGAAAAAAAAGAAGAGAGGAGAAGGAAGAGGAGGGGAGGGGAGGAGAAGAGGGAGGAAGAAAAGAAGGAAGGAGAAAAAGAGAGAGATAGAGAGATAGAGACAGAGAGAATGATCTCTTCATCCTCTGTCTCCAAGTCACTCATATGTGTACGTGTAAATGAACTGTGGGATTAGGAATGTACTCTCTGGCAATGGGACAAGTAAAAGCTCATTGGCCACAATGAGCCAGATCTAGCTCCTGACTAGATCCAACCTCCTTAGCATTGGTCTCTGAGTTAAATTAATTATGCCACAAGTAATAATATCAGCACAGATTTAAAAGAAAAGGAAAACCAAAACAAAAGAACACTGTCAAACTATAACTTGAAGTGACTTAGCTACTTTTAAGTAGTGGTACAATTCTGTTATTGGTTACTTTGTTTCCCCCACAAATATAGGTAATTGTTGACAATCCAGGAGAGAACTAGAAAACACACCAAAAACATAAGCCTCAATTGTTTCAATCACAAAATCACAGGATCTAAAGAGTTGGAAGGATCCTCAGAAGTCATCTGATCCGACTTCTACCTTCACAAAGATTGGTTGTTGTTCTTTGTCCTTGAAGAGGACCAAAATGACACTGCTATGTTAGAGTCAAGTTTCAATGTGTCCGATTGTGACTGATCAGAGCTCAGAAGGCTCTACCACAGGCTGGGCACAAATAGTCCATGTGAACATTTGGGGTGGCTTCTCTAAATTTGCACATCTTGCATTACTTTTGAGCTTCATCAATTCTGCTTTGCTCATAGGGCACAGCACCTTCTTTGATACAAGTACACCATGCTGGGAAGTCCTTTGCCAGTGTCTCCCATGTCATGCAATAAATTCCAAAGTCCTTCAAAGAGACCTTGAGAATGTTTTTGCATTGCTTCTGACCACCATGTGGGCTCCTTCCTTGAATGAGTTCTCTGTAAAACAGCCTTTTAGGCAAGCATATGTTTTGCGTTCCAACAATGTGGCCAGCCCATGGAGCTGTGCTCTCTGCAGCAGTGTTTGAATGCTTGGCAGTTTAGCTCAAGAAATGACTTCTGTCTGTTACTTTATCCTGCCAGGTGATCTTCAGAATCTTCCTAAGACAATTCAAATGGAAGCGATTCAGTTTCCTGGAATAACACTACTATACTGTCCAGGTTTCACAGTGAGGTCAGCACAGTGGCTCTGTAGACCTTCAGTTCGGTAGTCAGTCTAATTCTTCCTCTCTCCCTCACTTTCCTTTGGAGTCTACAAAACACTGAGCTGGCTCTGGTAACACATGCATCAACCTCATTATCAATGTGTACATTTCTGAAAAGTATACCACCAAGGTAAGTGAACTTATCCACAGCATTCAAAACTTCTCCATTTGCTGTCACCAATGGTTCCACATATGGAGAGTGTGGTGCTGGCTGTGTTTTCTTTGTGTTAAATGTTAGGGCAAAATTAGTACAAGCAGCAGAGAACTTGGTCCATTTCAGCTTCAGAGGCTATGTTGAATGCACGATATTAGCATTTATATAGCACCTACTATGTGCCGGGCACTGTGCTAAATGCTTTACAAATATTATTTCATTTAATCCTCACAACAGTCCTTGCAGGTAGGTACTATTATTATACCCATTTTACAGTTGGGAAAACTGAGGTCAGATTTGAACTCAAGAAGAAGAGTCTTTCTGACTTTGGGTCTAGCACTATCTATATACTGCACCACCTAGCTGCCTCAGGTGCTTAATGAATGCCAGCTGATTGATCAACCAACTTCAACTTTATAAAACTGAGCTACATTGGATATTGATATTGGGATGATGATGGAGAGGAAGAAATTGAGGTAATTGTTTGATAGATATTTTCCTGCAGTTCTTATCTCCATTAAACCACCCTCTTCCTCCTCTATTTCATGAACTCCTAGCACATGTATTTCTGTCTCCCACAGTAGTGCAAATTTAACTTCCAACACAGTGAGCACTTAGTAAAATTTATTGAATAGACGAATGCTGAATAGAGCACCCCACTTTTATATGCCATGCTAAGTTTTGCAAAGCACTGTCCTCACAATGCTGTAGTAAATACATAGTAAAAGTCTTCTCTTCCTAATTTGTGAGGTAAGAAACTGAGCTTCAGAGAGGTCAAGTCATTCGCCACTGGTGTCAAGGCTGGATTGGAACTGAGGTTTCCCTGACTCTAAGTCAAGGGTTCTTTTTTCTGTACCACATTATTTCTCTTGGATGGAGAAAATGAGTAGTGATGATTTGAATGTCATAAACATAGGGAATACATTTAACATGATGAAAAATGGGTTTTTAACAAGATGGAAACAGCCCGATGGTCTGAAAATGGCATTGGAGACCTCCCCCTGTGTCCCATTCCAAATATACACTAAGTTTCCAAACTAAAAAATATTTCACAACTGATCCAACCGTTCTGGAACTATGCCCGAAGGGCTATAAAACTGTTGCATACCTTTTGATCCAGCAATATCACTACCAGGTCTCTATCCTAAAGAGATCATAAAAAAGGGGAAAAGACTAACATGTACACAAATATTTATACCAGCTCTTTTTGTGGTGGCAAAGAATTGGAAATTGAAGGGATGCCCATCAATTGGGAAATGGCTGAACAAGTTGTGGTGTATGAATGTAATGGAATACTATTGCACTATAATAAATAATAAGCAGGCAGATTTCAGAAAAAACCTGGAAAGACTTACACGAACTAATAGTGAGTGAAGTAAGCATAACCAAGAGAACATGATACATAGTAACAGCAACAGCAACATTGGGCAATGATCAACTTTGACAGACTTGGCTCTTCTCAGCAATCACTGATCTAAGACAATTCCAAAAGCCTCATGATGGAAAATACTACCCATATCCAGAGAAAGACCCATGGAGTCAGAATGCAGATTGAAGCATATTATTTTCACCTTTTTTTTTCTTTGTCTTGGTTTTTCCATTTTGTTCTGATTCTTTTTACAATATGACTAATGTGGAAATATGTTTAATGTGATTGTACATGTATAACCTATATCAGGTTGCTTGCCATCTTGGCAAGGAGGGAGGAGAGGGAGGGAGAAAAAAGTTTGGAACTCAAAATCTTATAAAAGTGAATGTTGAAAACTTTCTTTACATGTAATTGGAAAAAAATTAAAATACTATAAAAAAGGAAAAATAAACATTTCACATACCACCTTTTCACCAGGACCTGTAACAAGCATGGGCAATTGTTTATAAATTCTAAGTCCCAAAGAGCCAATTCACATTTCATATGAATGTAGCTTAATAAATGTGAAAAATGTCTGGCTTCCTTTTCTCTATCATGATGTGACCGAAGTTAAGACCAAACATTTTAGATCATCGATAACACAATAAGTTTATTTATTCTATTACAATTCATTATAAGCTTAATTCAGTAGAGATCTGCACATTTACTAGCACTGAACAACTATCCAGTCCTTCTACATTCAGCATTTTCCAAAAGATGACTTTTGGAAACCTTCACAAGGGATTTGATAAAAAAAAAATCACTTCAATTCTCTCAAATAGACAAATACAGCATGTGTCCTAAACATGATGATTAAATATTCTAGCAGTTTTATTTCAGCAGGAAGGATAAATAATTGTAATTTATTAGCTTTAAAGACATTTTTGAAAACAGTACAAATAATAAAAAACAAAAAACAAGTTAAAAACAAAACATTGCATCCTTTTGACTGCAAGAAACTGTTTGTAAAAACAGTGAAAGATAGGACATTTCCCAAATTTGTGTCCCCAAAGAACTTTGTAAAAAGCTTTGTAAAAAGCATTATGATGTCTTAAAAAACCACCAGAACCCATCAACTGGTTTACTGGAGTTCTATGTACTGTTAAATGTAAGCACAGCCTCAGTTCCACAAATGTCAAAATGCAAGTTTTTAATTCAAGTCCATTCCTAAAAACCTACTTTCCTAGAAGCGGAGACCTATGTAACTTTATCATCATGCAGGGTAGGCGAGTCTTTCATCTAAGAGATATCCTAGCAACTAACCTCTTTGGGGTGACAAGAAGAAAACATCACAATTTACTTTAGATTTTAAAAATGACCTCTTCTTCATGGCTTATTGTGATAACAAGATTCTATTCATAAAGTACAAAAATATTGGGTGTCAGCTGTTTCTATCCTACCCTTCTGTGACCCATCTTTAACTGTTAACTAATGCCCATCCTGAAACTTGAGACAAGTTCTAGAACTCCTTATAAGCTATTTCTCTGTCCCCTCCCAAACCCCAGAACTTCATACCTTGCTTAGTTTCCAGCCATGCCATCATGGACTTCAGCAGTTTACAAGGTATTTTATGTCATTTATACTTCCAATTGACAATGTTTTTGGACCTCTGGAATTTTTTGAAAAGAACTCTTTTACTTGAAACCTTTTTAAATTAAAAAGTAAAATTCACATTGTTTTTGGTTCAGCTACAGGGATAGAGTCATCCAATAATTGGAGGGGGGCTAAGTTGAACAGTAGTGAATACAGCAAGCAAACAAACAGCAGTGAGATGACCATCTGTGAGGGATGCTCCAAAGGGTAAGCTGGGCTAGATGATCAAGAGCCCTTTCCACCCACAGGAGTATGTATGATTCTACATTTCCATCATTGCTGGGAATGGGGACTAGAACTGGACCTGTGATTTCACTGGTGTTGGGAAATCCCTATACCAACATTCTTAGAGAGTTGCCTGGGCCCCTCAGAAGTTCAATTACTTGCAGGGTCACAAAGCCAACACATGTCTGAGCTAAGACTCGGCCCTAGGCTTTGAGGGGGGCTCTCTATCCACTATGCCATGACATGACCATTTGGGGGAAATTAATTTCTTTTCTTTTCAGACTTATTTTTAGCATTGTTCATGCTGGTATCTAAATCACCATGAGGGATATCCTACTGTTTAAAAATGTTTCCTAAAAAAGCTCGATGGTAGAAAAGACAAGATGCAAAAACAAGGGCATGATAAAATATATGTGTGTATACATATATAATAGAGAACATATAACATTATACATATATTTGCAAAATAAAACAAATTTGTAGGCAGTGCAACACATTATTAAAGAGTAAACAAAGGAAAATGTGAAAAAGGAAAAGAGTTGTAGAGCTTTTATTTTTTGTATTATCAGAGTTCAGCTATTCTGTTTTCAAGTCCAGTCAGATACTTTATGGGAGATTTTAAAAATTACTATTAAAATCACATATCTATAGTTATGCAATCAAAAAACAAATATGCATCAGAACATTTTCTACCTAAACAAAATATCGTTTTTTCATCTCTAAGTCTTTATTTACATTTAATATAAGAAAAGGATATGATCTTGGAAACTTCAGTAATGACAAAGACCTGTTTTCAGATAAAATACAGAACTTTAAAAAAAATACATCAAAATAATTTGTCAAGAATTTTCTCCAACAAAAAACTTCCTGACACAATTTATTCCAGCCCTGAGAGTTGTTGAATTTGCCACTTGCGAACATCACATACCATTCTGAAACCAGTGTTACATTTTGCAGTAGAAAAATCACAGGAAAATATCACTAAAATCATCAGGCTTTTTTTTTTAGCAGTTCTTTAGCTTTTTAAAAACAAAACCAAACCATCACCTGGACATTACACCATTGACAAAGAACACCATTGAGAAAGTGATGACATATGGGGGGACAGACACCCCCAACTCTTCAGCTGCAGATTAAAGAATTTACAGATCATTAGCTCCTGACTGATTTAAGGCACATAGCCCATCAAACTTCAATGTGATGGTAGCTGCAGGGAGCCTAAGGGAGATAGTTTACACACGTCAATTTTCCTTTGACCACAGGAAGTCTGCTCTTTGCACATCAGTGCACCCAGTCTTTGGGATGGTGTAGGACTTCTAGGATCTCAGCTTCTTTGGAATTCTTTGAAGGTGCATGCATGTATTCCCATCTGTGTAAGACAAGAACAGAAGATTTGAAATCCCCTCTAAAACAGGGCAAAATAAAGTTCCAACAGAATGAAAAAAATGACCTCAAGATTCATAATTCAGTTCTTCAAATGAGTCATGATCTTGCTGGTTCCACCAATGCACAGCCACCAGCCTTAGCATCTGCTTTGATGAGTGGGTGCAGCCAAAGTAATCCATCCTCTAATAGGCAACCTTCTGTTGTTGAGTCTGCCTGTAGTTAACTAAACTGGTCCTCTGATGATAGACCACTTTGTACTCCAAGCTTTTGTAGCTTGGTAGGACCTGCAAAAGCTTAACCTTCACCTCCATATGATGATGATGCTTCAGAACAGAACCTTAACGTGGGGCTTGTGCCTCATTTTATCTCCAGCCCCCAGCACAATGCTATTCAAATAAGAGGTACTCCATAAATATTTGATGATGAATTAGTATTACTTAATAACACCAGGTACCCCTGGGTCTATTACTTGGTCTCTGCATTATTAATGCATTCATCTATTGATTATATCAGAACAAAGATATAAATGACATAGGCTACAAGTGGACTAACAGTGGCCTTCTGTTAACCATTAATTCTCTACATATTACTTATCAAATCTGTCCAAATCTTTATAAAAATTCATAAACTTGGAAAATTTCACAGCTAATGAACATATTTAGGGCATAGATCAAGCAGAGAGCAAATAGAACTGGATTTTAAGAACTCTGCTTATCCAGCCAGGTGTGGTGTTGCATACTTGCAATCTCTGCCACTGAGGCTAAACTCAGGAATCAAGCTTGTAGTCAACTAACAATAACATTAATGTTAATAATGATGGCTAACATTTATACAGTGCTTATGTGCCAGGCATGTGCTAAGCACTTTACAACTATTATCTCATTTGATCCTCACAGCAATTCTGGGAGGTAGGTGCTATTATAATCTCCCTTTTATGGAAGAGGAAACTAAGGTTAAGTGACTTGTTTGGGGTCATGCAGCTAGTAAGTGTGTCTGAGGTCAGATTTCAATTCAGGTCTTCCTGACTTCAGGCCCCTACATTATCCAGACTAAGTCGACTGGGTTCTGTACTAAGTCTAGCATCAATACAGTGATCTCTGGGGGTTGGAGTAAGGTAGGTTTGCCTAAGGATGAGTGAACAGGTCAAGGTCAAAGCTCCTATGCTTAGGAGATCTGATGTGTGAGTAGCTCATAATGATAAGGAGTCCCAGTCTTTAAGAACAAACAAACAAAAAACAGAAAAAACTCTGCCTCTCATTTTTGTTACTAATAGGAGTGGTATCATAAAAATGCAATTGAAAACTGAATTGGCTACACCAGGGCATTATTACATAAGCCAACAAAACAATTATTAGGTAGTTGAGGCTTTCATTCAACTTCTAAAAAAACACAGAAACAGACTACTAGGGAGTGAACACCTGGTAAAGCCAAAAATCAAGAAAGTCAAATGATATTTTCTACTTCACCTGGAGCTGCTGACTTTCAAATAGTCAAGGACAATCTAGGTAACTGGGTCCCTCTCCTCACAATACAAAATGGCTGCTCAATTCAAGAAACATTTCATAATTGTTGGTTTGGAGTCAGGCCTCATGCTAGATGCTGAGGTTTACTAGGAAAAAAACCTAAACAATAGCCTTGCCCTCAAAGAGCTAACGTTCTTATGTTGGGGAGGTAACACATACACACAAAATAAAGTTCCAAATGTAAACGGGATTGTGCAAAGTATTTCCTAAGGCTAGGGGCAGGAGAAGTTTACAATGCTGGTTCCTTACATGTTTAGTAGCCTTTGAAGGAAGTTGGAGATTTTGTAAGAGAAAGTTGAGGGTAAGTGCTATCCAGGCAAGGGGGGCACCCTGGGTGAAAAGCTGTATGCCATGGAAACAGGCCAATTTGTCTCTAACCAGACAAAAACCAAACTTGCCCCTCTCTCCTCCTTCATTATTTCACTCCTTTACTTGATTCTCATCTTTCTACATATTCTTGGGGCCAAATATCCTCAAATATTATAAAGTATTCTTGGGATCAAATATGCTCATTCTACAGCATCCTTGGGGCCAAGTATACTCAAATAGGGAAATATGAGGCTTTAATTTTAATTCACTTAAGGATAAAGGGGGGATAACAGTTATGTCAAATTATCTCCTTACCTGGCAGTCAGGGGCAAAGACATAAGGATGCTTTCAATCCTAGATCCTGGAGTGAGGAGTCCAAATTTTGTGCCTCTATCATACAACAGGTTAAATTCCACATACCTACCACAACAGAGAAATGTAGGGGGGGGGGAAGTTAGCTGAAGAAACTCTTCTCTAAGGTTAGGTCATGATGAGGAAATGGTTAACAACAGAACAGTTTGGTCCTTCTTGAACAACTGGCAGCAGTGGAGAGATCACCAGCTGGAAGTCCCAGTGAGTTTTTAGCATCTGGACAGGAATGGATAAATAGGGTATTCTACCCACTGAACAAAAGGACATAGATGCTGTTATAATACATAGCAGTTGTAAGACAAGAAGGTTGTGTTTTCCAATAAATACACTGAATAGACTGACTTCACAGCTGTAAAATAGGAATGACTGTTCAGTCTTAGAACAATGCTTCTCTCTCCCTCCAGATCCCAATCCCTTATTGTGATTCTTCAAGGCAAGCTCTTCTCACAGATCATAATTCCAGGCACCATGTTAAATGCTTTATGAATATTATCTCATTTGATCCTCACAACAACCCTGAAAGGGAGGTGCTCTTATGATCCCCATTTTACAGTTGAGGAAACTGAGGCAAACAGAGGTTAAGAGACTTGCTCAGAGTCACACAACTAGGAAGTACTTGAGTCTGGATCAGAACTCAAATCTTCCTGACCCCAGGCCCAATGTTCTCTCTACTGTACCACCAAGCTGTCTCATCTAGAGGGGCTGGTCTTGGCATGGGGAAGTTCCAGCTCTTCACCAGAGACTGAAGTGAAGGAGGAGACAGGAAGGGACGATTTCAAAAGGAGCTCTCAGCAAACGTCCTCCAAGCTGTGGGAAGCATGAGACGTTGTTCTCAGCTGGTATGACCTAGATGGTCTCTACAGGCTCTTCTGGCTCTCAAATTCTATCATCCCTAACAAAATTTGCCCACTGTCATTGTTCAGTTGTTTCATTTGTGTTTGACTCTCCATGACCCCATTTGGGGTTTTCTTGGCAAAGATACTGGAGTGGTTTGCCATTTTGCTTATTTTATGGATGAGGAAACTGAGGCAAGCAGGGTTAAGTGACTTGAGCAGGGTCACACAGTGACCCTATGTGTTTGAGGCTTGATTTGAAGTCGGGTCCTCCTGACTTTAGGCAGGCACTCTATCCACTATGACACCTAGCTGCCTAAAGCTTAGGGTCTTGCATGTAGCAGATGTTTAATAAACGCTTGTTGAATTGGAGGTCAGAACCATACCAGAGAAAGAAATGGTAAAAAAAAAAAAAGTCTTGAAAATTATAATCTTTCTCCATTGACAATAAATTCTTAAGGTGCTATGTAAGGCAGCAGTAATTATCTCAAGACCCAGAGCTAATAATGGGTGGAAGAGGGAGGAGTCTCACTGAATAATATTCTTAACTTTACACAGGACTAGTGAGAAATAACCTAATTCCTTTCCACCTCACCTAGCTCAAAATCCACTAGGCAGGCAAAAGAAAAAAACAACAATAACAACCCATAAAACATTTAACTTGGTCTAATCACATCACAAAGGTAAGCCCATTAAGAAAAAGGGAATTCTTCATTCACAAGTTTTTTATATTATGACTGAAAATGACAGAAAAGAAATATGTTCTTTTAAATGATGGCATGTCCAATGGCAAGAATCCTTATACAGTTTAAGGCCAAAATCATCATCTTGTTATTCTGCACAAAACTGGCTAAAAGAAAGCTCTCAATACACTTAACGCAGTTAAGCGGGGAAACAGATAAGACTGCTGGGTGAGGAGTCAGGAAGACCAGTTCAAATGTAACCTCAGACCCTTACTAGCTGTACAAGACACTTAAATCTCTGACTGTCTCAGTTTCCTCAACTGCAAAATGGGTATGACAACAGCACCTACTTCCCACAATTGTTGTGAGGATCAAATAAGATAATATTTGTAAAGTGCTTAACATAGTACCTAGTACACAGTTAAGTGTTACATGAATGCTAGTTACTATTATTTGAGAAGTTTTAAATTTTAAAGCTTTAAATTAAAAATTTTTAAATTTTAAATTTTAATTTTAAAGCTTTAAAGGAAATGAATTTACATTTTATTTGGGGAATTAAAAAAGTAGACAACTTTTAATAATTTATGCTGATAGAGGGAATTAGTAACAATGGTATGCCATAGGACAGGCTAGTACAAAAAAAACATTTATTTTAATATCAATATATCATACCACTGACATTGTTTCATTTTCTTGATAACATTTTTTTCTTATGCTTCAGCAAATATCAAAATTATTTTGTATTCCCTAAGCACATTCTCATAGGTAGCCATGAAAGCGACACCCAGATGTAAACTTGGAGGGGTAGAGCTGGGGGCCTGGGGACTTTGGCCAGGGAATAAGCATTTGGCAAAAATCTACATATAGACTGTGGGGAATATATACACATGCACACAGGTGCACATACACACTTTGGCTGAAGATTTAATGTAGACTTAATCTAGTCAACGTAACATATCAAACCTATGTTTGCTGAGGTTGGTTCCATAGCAGGAAAACAAACTTCCAGTGAAAACCAATGAAAATGATTCCTGATACTATTATTTAGTCGTGAAAAACAACATAAAAATTACCACAAGCTTTGGAACTCTTAAAATAAACAAAACCCAGATTTAATTTTTTAAAAAATTCTACAAGAATTTTAAAAAAGAATCCCACCCCTTTGGTTCAAAGCTTGAGAAAAGTTGTTAATGAATTGATTAAATAAACCAATTGAATTCAATTTAATTAATATTTATAAGGACCAGTTAGGAGAAAGATGTGAGTTCTGGTCCTGCCTTTGATACATACTAGCTGTGTGACTATAGGTAAGTCACTTAACCACCAACCACTCAGTGTCCCAGGCACTCTAAACTGTAAGTCTTATAACCTCTAAGACTGTAAGTTACAGACAAGTTGTCGATCTGTAGTGATGAAGGGAGTTTCCACACTGAAAGTTCCATACAGTGATGAGACAACACACAGGTCAAAACATACACATATATTTGTGAATGTCTAGAACATAGCTAGGTAGTGCGATGGATAGAGCACTGGAGTTAGAATCAGAAAGACTCCTCTTCATGAGTCCAAATCCAGCCTCAGACACTATCTGTGTGACCTTAAACAAGTCTCTTGACCCTGTTTGTCTCAGTTTCCTCAGCTGTAAAAAGAGCTGGAGAAGGAAATGGCAAACCACTCTAGTATCTTTTCCAAGAAAACCCCAAATGGGGTCATGAGAGTCAGACCTGACTGAAAACAACTGAACAAGAGCACACTGAGAATTTCATGTGGGTTGACACTGATATGCATAACGACTTCACAAGCAAAACCTCAATTATTTATCAAATGGCAATAAGAGGCCTCTGACTGAATGGCCTCGTGGTCGTACTCTTATTTTTGGATCATATTTCTATCACAAGTTAAGACCAGAAAAAATGACTATTCATGTCATCATTAGTTGCTTCTGCCTTTCCCTCTATGTACGTGGGTTATTTTTTTTTCCAGCCTCACCTCCCTCTCCGAAGCTGCTGCCACTGTTTCTCCTGAGGTGTGAATGGATCATTACAGTGTTTTTGCACCAGGGGAATGTAAGAAGGTACAACAGCACGAGCACAGCTTTGGACAAAATGAAATACATCTTCCTTGGATGGGGAGTCAAGATCGTCAAAGAATATACCCCCAATTCCCCTTCTCTCTCCCCGATGCTTTATAATAAAGTAGTCATCACACCTGAAAATAAAAACAGAGAAGTCAGAAGGAATTGAATACATTCCAAAGAGGAAAGCATTAAGATGAATATGCAAGTTTCAGTGTTAAAAAAATGACCTCAGCTAAATCTCTCCCCTTTACTCAGAATGAAGAGAAAATAAGAACCTTTGCCAACATGCAAACACACAATCCACCATCTCATACACAGAGCATTTTTCCAGCATGATAAATGCTTTAGTTATTTTGTCTAGGAAGTAACCATGAAAATCAGCAGTCCATGACATAATGGAAATTATGCTTTGAGAAAAGTCTCCTAATACCAATGTAAATAGGATGTTGTTGTTAAGTTTTCAGTTGTGTTCAACTCTTTGCGACTGATTTGGGGATTTCTTGGCAAAGACACTGGAATGGTTTGCCATTTCCTTTTCCAGCTCATTTGACAGATGAGGAAACTGAGGCAAACAGGGTCAAGAGACTTGTTTAAGGTCACACAGATAGTGTCTGAGGCTGGATTTGGACTCATGAAGAGGAGTCTTCCTGATTCCAAGTCCAATGCTCTATCTTCTGTGCTTCCAGGTTTGGCACTCTACCTACTGTGACACCTAGCTGCCCCATGTAAATAGTAACACCAGCATTAATGCTGGTTCCTTAAGTTACTGATTTCCATGCCATTATTAACTGTGAGAAAGGATTAGAGACACAGTGGGATTTTAATATAATAATGATGATGATGATAACTAAGAATAATAACTAACATTTACATAGTACTTACTATATGTGCTTTTATAACCCTGAGCAAATCATTTAATCCTGTTTGCCTCAGTTTCTTCATCTGTAAAATGAACTGGAGAAGGAAATGGCAAACCATTCCAGTATCTTTGCCAAGAAAATCCCAAATGGGGTCATGAAGAGTCATGGCTGAAAATGACTGAACAACAACAACAAAATCTCATTTTATCCTCACAACAATCCTAGGACGTAGGTGCCATTGTTATCTGCATTGTATAAGTGAGGAAACTGAGGCAAAAGACTTGACTAGTGTCACCTAATACCTGAACCTGGATTTGAACTCAAGTCTTTGTGACTCCAGTTCCAGAACTTCATCCATTGCAGCAGTTAGCTGTACCCTAATAAATAAGCATTTCAGTAGGTGAAAAACTCTTAACACCCACTTATAAACAATCTGTTAAATAATCTATATTCTCCAGAACCTTCTTCCTCTATATAAGTCTATATATTTGAATTCCAAATTCTATCCTTCCCTCCCTCCCCTCTCTCCTTCTTGAGATGGTAAGGAATCAGATATAGGTTATACATGTGAAATCACATAAAACATTTCCATATTAGTCATTTTGTACAAGAACACTTGAATAAAAGAAAAAAGGATGAAAGAAAGTAAGTGAAAAATGGCATGCTTCTATCTGTATTCAATCAATATTAATTCTTTCTCTGGAGATGGGTAGTATGCTTTATCATCAGTCCTTTGGGATTGTCTTGGATCACTGTATTGCTGAGAATAGCTAAGTCATTCACAGTTCTTCATTGAACAATATTGCTGTTACTGTGAACAACATTCTCCTGGTTCTCTTCACTTCACTTTGTATCAGTTCAAATAAGTCTTTTCAGGTTTTTCTGAAGTCATCCTGCTTGTCATTTCTTTTAGCACAATAATATTACAGTCATATACCATAGTTTGTTTAGCCATTCCCCAATCGATGCACATCCCTTTAATTTCCCATTCTTAACCACCACAAAAAGAGTTGCTATAACTCTCCCCCATACCCCACTCCCCCTCTACTTTGGCTGCAGCCTTCCCTGTGTGGCTTTGCTGTTGTCGCTGCTGCTGCCCCTGGGAGCAACTCCTCCCTCTCCCTGCCCAGCCCCAGTCCAGTAGCCGACATAAAGATGAATAACTCAGAGAAGGTATCATAGATCTCATGGTTCTATAGGCTTTGTGGCAATGAATTCTTGGGTGAGATGGATGAAGACTGTATCCAAGACAACATCAACCTCACAGGGCTCAACGAACAGGTATGCTGTACTCTAAGTAGGCACTAGCCATGATCCTCAGCTTGGAACCTGATGAGGAGTTGGAGGATCAGAGTGAGCTGATCGAGCAGGCAGCCGAGATGTTATGTGGAGTGATTCATGCCCGCTACATCTTCACAAACCATGGCATTGCCCAGATGTTGGAAAAATACCAGCAGGGAGACTTTGGCTGTTGTCGTTGTGTATATTGTGAAAACCAGCCCATGTTGCCCATTGGACTGTCAGACATATCAGCTGAGGCCAGTTGTCTAGGCACCGCCATACAGATGTTGCTTACTTTGGCACTGGCCTTCCCCACATGCTCTTCATGGTGCATCCTCAGTGTAGGCCCAAACAAGCTAACAACCAAGTTGTGCCCAAGCTGTATGGCCTCAAGATCCACCCCATGGCCTATCAACTGCAGCTTTAGGCAGCCAGCAACTCTAAGAGCCCTGTCGAAACCATCTGCTGACTTGTCTGCTCCCCTCCTCCTCCCCAAAACCTCAGGCTGTGATACCATTCTCCCTTCCCCCAGCACACACACACACCTTTCCAGAATCCTTAATGGCTTTTAGTTTAAATGATGAAGTCATTATTGTGGTGGTGTGGGGGGAGTGTGAAATAAAGTGGAGGAAAAGGCCAAAAAAAAAAAAGAGCTGCTATATTTTTGTCCATATAGGTCCTTTCCTCCTCTTTTTTTTTTTTTTGTCTTTGGGATATAGACCTAGCTGGATCAAAGGGTATGCACAGATTTTTAGTCCTTTGGGCATAGTTCCAAATTGCTCTCCAGAATGGTTGGTTCCCACATCCCCTCCAACATTTATCATTTTCCTGTTCTGTCATGTTAGCCAATCTGATCAATCTGATAGGTGTGAGGGGGTACCTCAGAGTTGTTTTAATTTGCATTTCTCTGATCAATAGTGATTTAGTGCATTTTTTCATATGACTATAGATAGCTTTGATTCCTTTCTCTGAAAACTGCCTGTTCATATCTTTTCTATTCCACTGATCCACTACTCTATTTCTTGGCCAGTACCAGATTGTTTTGATAATTATCACTTTATTAAATACAGTTTGAGATCTGATATGGCTAGACTGCTTTCCTTCACATTTTTTTCCCATTGATTCCCTTAATATCCTTTTTGTTCTTCCAGATGAATTTTGTTATTATTTTTTCTAGCTCTATAAAATTATTTTTTGATAGTTTGATTGGTATGGCACTGAATAGATAATTTAGGTAGAACTGTCATTTTTATTATATTGGCTCAGCCTACTCAAGAGCAATTAATTTTTTTCCAGTTGTTTAGATCTGATTTTACTTCTGTGAAAAGTGTTTTGTAGTTGTGTTCACATAGTTCCTGGGTTTGTCTTGGCAGCTAGACTCCCAAGTATTTTATATTGTTTATAGTTATTTTAAGTAGAATTTCTCCATCTCTTGCTGCTAGGCTTTGCTGGTCCAATGAAGAAATGCTGATGATTTGTGTGGGTTTATCCTACAACTTTGCTAAAGTTGTTAATAATGTCAACAAGTTTTTTAGTTGATTCTCTTGGATCCTCTAAGTCTAATATATCATCTGCAAAAAGCGATAGTTTTGAGAAACTATATTCTTTTTAAAGTTTTATGAAGTACTTTATGTATTGTTATTCTTTTTTTATATATATAATAATGGCCTCTTAGTAGAAAAGCCACAAAAACTCCCAGGAAGGTTAAACTGAGAAACTTAAAAAGAAGTCTCTAAAGTTTAATTTAGCCAACCATTCTGGAGAGCAATTTGGAACTATGTCCAAAGAGCTATAAAACTGTGCATATTTTTTGATCCAGCAGTACCACTACTAGGTCTTTATCCCAAAGACATCCAGAAAAAAGGGAAAAGGACCTATTTGTACAAAAATACTTACAGTAGCATTTTTATGATGGCTAAGAATTGGAAATTAAAGGGATGCCCACCAGTTGGAGAATGGCTAAACAAGCTGTGGTATATGAGAAATGACAAGCAGGGAGCATCTAGGTGGTGCAGTGGATAGAGCACCGGCCCTGAAGTCAGGAGGACCTGAGTTCAGATCTGGCCTCAGACCAAACATGACACTTAACTAGCTGTGTGACCCTGGGCAAGTCACTTAACCCCAACTGCCTAAAAATTAAAAAAAAGAAAAAAAAAGAAATGGCAAGCAAGATGATTTCAGAAAAATCTGGAAAGATGTACATGAACTAATGTAGAGTGAAGTGAACAGAACCAAGAGACCGTTGTACACAGTAACAGCAATATTGTTCAATGAAGAACTGTGAATGACTTAGCTATTCTCAGCAATACAACGATCCAAGAAAATCCCAAAGCACTAATGATGAAGCATACTATCCGTCTCCAGAGAAAGAACTGCTATTGACTGAATACAGACTGAAGCATGCTATTTTTCACTTTTTCCTTTTTTTTTTCTTTTATTCAAGTCTTCTTGTACAAAATGACCAATACGGAAATGTTTTACATAACTGCACATGTATAACCTATATGTGATTCCAAGTCAGGGAGGAAGGGATAGAATTTGGAATTCAAAACTTTAAATAAAAGTGTTAAAAAAAATTTGGAAAAAAGGTTTAACTCAGAAAATGAAATTAACAGAAACAAGAATTCATAATAAATACAAAATGATAGTTGTTCATGATCATTTTCACCTATATTACATGATATTTTCTCTCTCTTTTTTTTTTTAATTAGGCAATTGGGATTAAGTGACTTGCCCAGGGTCACACAGCTAGTAAGTATCAAGTGTTTGGTCTGAGACCGGATTTGAACTCAGGTCCTCCTGACTTCAAGGCTGGTGCTCTATCCACTGCACCACATAGCTGCCCCAAGAAAGAATATCTTATGCCAGATTACAAAGAAACTTTAAGACTTAGTTATATGATTTCAAAGTCTCTCTCCAAAAAAAGTGATTCAAAAAGACAAAAATATGTTAAAACCAACAATTTTAATATGAATCACAAACTTTTCCTTCTAAATGGTAATCTTCCTTGATTACCTCTTACAGATAAAAGTTCCTTCACTAACAGTTGCCTGTTCTAGTTAATGGAATTTTTTTAAAGGCCCCAGAAGCTCTCTTCCTAGAAGATAGAATGGCCTGTTTGTAGAAGATAAGAAACAGATTAACATACACATGTATATCTTACTTAGGTGGAACCACTATTTTCAGTATTAAAGGCATGATGAAAAATTTCACAACCTTTCTTTTCTGAGGTGAGACTTCACGTCCTCACACAATCAGCACACCATTCTTGGTATCAAAAGCAAAGCAAAAACCAACAAAAACCCACCCCTTTCTGTCTTCATCATTAAAGAGTACCAATCTGTTTCAACTTCATTGTAGTTCCCAAATATCTTCTGGCAAATACCCCATTTGATATCCAACTACATTCCAGAGGCTTCTTCATAGTTTTAGTAGTGTTTCCTTCCCTTTCCACTCTATAGCTAATATTCCTAACTTTCAAACCATCTCCAGGTTCCAACCCTTCTGTCTCACTGTGATCTCACCTCCTCTATTACTGTTAAATTCTATTTTTTTCCCCTTTCTTTAGTCAAAAAGAACCTTTAGAAAAAGCAGTTAAAAGTTTGGAAGAAAATGGATTTGGACCAGCATCTCACACCATATGCCACAATAAATTCCAATCACAGGTCTAAACACACACAGCCATAAAGAACAAAAAATATGAAGAATTCAAAGAAACATTAAAAGACTTACGTGAAGGAATGTAGAATGAAGGAGAATAAAAAGTTTATATCTATGTATATTATTATAACAATAATAGGTTGCATTTATGTAGCACTTTAAGGTTTGCAAGGCACTTTATAAATATTATCTCATTTTATTTTCAAAGCAAACATGAGAGGTAAGTGCTATTATTATTCCCATTTTACAAATGAGGAAACTAAGGCTAATGGAGGTTAAGTGATTTGCTCAAGATCAACAAAGCTAGTAAGGGTATGAGGTGGGATTTGAACTCAGGTTTTGCTGATTCCAAGTTCAACACTCTATCTACTGCATTACCTAGCTGCCTCCTGATATAATCACTGTAACTATGCAAATGAAGCTACAATTTAGATCAAATACAATAGGCAAAATTGGTACTAACTTGTTAAAGTCCATAAATTTATTGTTTTTAAAAAAACTATAAAAGTATATGATATGAATAATATTCATTGCAATCACTCACATTGTTTTACATACATTAACAGTTTTCAGAGAATGTTGTGTGGAGGCTGTGAACCTATTTGTGTTTCTCTATTATATCTAAACAAAACTTACCAATTAAAAAAAAATTTCCTCTATTCCCACGAGATTAATATCTTATCTTTCTAAATTACTTGTGACAGAAAAGAGATTTTTCTGCCCAATATTAAATCAGTTCCTCAGTGAATTACTTACTAAAATAAATGGTTTTAAATCCCTACTGTTTTGACATTCAGAAGTAAGAAAAAGTGTCAGTCTACCTATATCTGAAGAGATCCCCTGAAAGCATAGGATGTATTATGACCCCGAAGAGGTTCTCAATGTTTCCACTTACCATTTTTTAAACTTAGGGTAAAGGCTTGGATCATGCTGGTCACAAGCATCCTTTAAGGTTTTATGGAAGTGTACAGCATCCTCTTGGTTCAAATAAGTTGGAGTAAGATCACATCCACCACCAAACCACCATTGCTTGCTACCTACCAAATAAAAAACACAATCTATCATAAAAAGTACACTACCAAGTTAGCCATGAAATACATAATCAATCAATAAGAATGTTATTAAGCACTTACTATGTTCCAGGTACCAAGTGGTGGAGATTTAAATACAAAAGTAAAATATGTAGTCCCTGATTGCAAGGAGCTTACATTACAATGCATGATAATTGTAAAAGATATATGGAACTAGAAAAGACTTGAAAACTCTAAGGTTAGAAGGCCAACTCTGAAGCTGACTGATGCCAATGGCAGTCTGCAAGTGTAAGCATCAGAAAAGGGGGAAAAAAAGGAAGATGATGACAAAGAGAGAGTAAAATGAAAAAAGCAAAAGAAAGGCAAGAGAATGGTTAATGTGGGAAATATGGGGGTGGGAATTTAACAGTATAATTCAAATAATTCTTAACCCAAGAATATATGGTACACCTCAAAACCAGAACATAAACAAATCATCAAGGAACCCAACACCCTTAATTTGTGCAGACACATTATTCTACTAAAAATTTTCAGAAAAGACTGAAATATCATCAGTAGTAGATAGTATAAGACCTAAGGGTAACTACTTAATGCGATCCATAATCTGTTCTAGTTATCAACCTGAAAAAGGCTGAACAAATCCAAATGTTATTAACCTGTGGTGTGACAAATTTACCCTGTTATATAAATGACATACAGACAGCACTTGGAAAGGGAGACACTACACTAGATATCACAGAAGGCAGGCCATCAGATGATTAATTCTCTGGACCACAGAAACTCAAATGTCTGCTGAGGCATATGAGGACCCAAATACGCATTGATCAGAGAAGCACCCATGTTGCAGAACTCATAGATCTCTGAAATAATAAAATAGTACAAAGAGGTAACTAGTTGGCCACATGTTCCATTTTCTCAGAAAAAGTTCCTGATTTCACATTAGCAGAGTATAAAAACATTTCCTTCAAATACTCATATAACTTTTATTGTTTCAAAATAGAATGTATTATCTTTTCTGTGGACTTGTCAAAGCATCCTTTCCATCTAGGAAAGTCTCACTCTCTTTGTCTTTCTGCTTCATTCAAATCCAATTCATAAGAAAATCAAGCCATCATCCCTCATGATGTCATTGGTCCTCTCTGAGAAGGAAGGACAAACAAAAACAAAAACAAAAACAATCTAGGAAGGCCAGAGCGATTAAATAGCTAGTTTCATGGTTCATTCAAGTACATCAAAGTCTGTCTGTCTGTCTGTCTGTCTCTCTCTCTCTCTCTCTCTCTCTCTCTCTCTCTCTCTCTCTCTCAGTTTTCATCCTTAGGACATTATCCACATCTGCCAATGAACAGTTTCATAGGAAATATGAAAAATCTAAATCACTTGGGTGATTTCTTCTTGTTCCCAAATGATAAGAACTCTTTACGTTTAAAAGTACATGTTTTATAATACAAAGGTTTCCAAAGTCCCCAGGGAGTCTTACCATCAGCTTCTTCTACTTCAAAATATCTATAGTTGAAATGAAAGGTGGGAGCGTGAGGATTCTTGGGGTGGATGACAGAGCTCACTCCCATAGCAGAAAAGGCCAACTGACCTACAAGTAATAATAAAGGGCATTCAATAAAAACAAAACCACTATCTAAAACAATGAAATTAACTATTTTTTCTGATTAAATTTCCAACTGGTTTTTGAATTTGCACTTTAAAATTTAATTTGCTGGTTATTATGATTATTTAACCTTAGTAGTTAGCATTTATACACAACATTTTTAACTCTGCACAGCACTCTACAAATATTATCTCATTTGATCCTCACAAAAACCTCAGGAAATAAATGCTTTTATTATCCCCATTTCATTGACGAGGAAATGGATTAAGTCAGTTGCCCAGGCAAGTTAATGTCTGAACTAATAAATTCTGAAACTGGATTGACCTGAACTTATTATTTTCTGACTCCAAGTCCAATTTTCCATCTACTGAACCACCTACATGCCTAATTTTATACATATTTCATTTTATACATATTTCAGTGCTGATACTGTGATAGTAAATGTGCTAATCATTATTGGGAAGGCAATAAGTATTAACACCTTCCTTTTGGAGATAAGGAAAAGGAGGTCTTATAGAAGTCAAGAGACTGGTTTGAGGTCACATAACCAGCAAACTGGGATATGAAGCCATGCCTCCAAGTCCAACATCTTTCCCAGATAATGGATGGTACCACATCACTGGGCAGCTAGGTGGCACAGTGAATAGAGGGCCCAGCCTGAAGTCAGGAAGCCTATCTTCATGAGTTCAAATCTGGTCTCAGACACTTACTAGCTATGTGACCCTGGGCAAGTCACTTAATCCTGTTTGCCTCAGTTTCCTCATCTGTAAAATGATCTAGAGAAGGAAATGGCAAAACCACTCCAGTATCTTTGCTAAGAAAACCCCAAATGGAGTCATGAAGCGTCAGACATGACTAAACAACAAAAACCAGATCACTATTATGCTAATCAAATGCATGTGTCCAAATGGTTATTTCCAACAACTATAAAGCTTCATTTTATAAATAAAATATGTAAGAAAAATTGACAGGTACAATTGAATACAGTTTAAAATTATTTGACTAGGGGCAGCTAAGTGGCGCAGTGGATAGAGCACTGGCCCTGGACTCAGGAGGACCTGAGTTCAAATCCGACCTCACACACATAACACTTAGTAGCTGTGTGACCCTGGGCAAAGTCACTTAACCCCCACTGACTACCAAAAACAAAAATAAAATTATTTGACTTACCATTTTTGGTCTTGAAGACCTTTCCTCTGTTTCTCATTTGTTTTGCTGCTTCCTCAGAAAGAGTCCCATGAACTACAGAAATACTGACTCCAGCTTTTTCAAAGACATGACCATCTTGTAGTACACAGCTGATACCACCTCCTCCTGAAAGAAAACAAAGAAACAAAAAACACACATATAACGCAGGAAAAAAGTTTAAACCTAAAACACAAGAATTAAAAATATTTTTTCATCCACCTAAGTTATTTAGATTTATAATGTTAATTGAAAACAATGGAAAAGTTACAGGCACCTTCCATATATGCAAACAGTAAGTGCATTGTTTTATAGGTTTAGTTAGTTTTTGTAGTTTTGCAGTTAGTAATTGTAGGTTTGGTTAGTTTAGGCTTTCTAAACCTCAGTTTATCTGTAAAACAGGAGATATTTGCAGCATCTATTTTAAAAGACAGTTATGACACACAAATGAAGTAATAGTATATGTAAAGTGCTATATAAATGTAAGCTATTATTATTATTTCTGCATTCTTATACTGTCATCACATACTATTAATACTAGGTTACTATTAGCCTACGATTGAAACAATATAGAATTAACAGCCTGCTATTAGCTAATAGCCTACTACTGAAACAATGCAAGCTACTATCAGAATCATGTCAGAAAAGAAAAATAGCAAAAAAGATTTTTAAAAATCAACCTTTTGACAATCTATCAAGGCATTTCATTTATGAGAACTGTTAAGGACCTCAAAACCCTACTTTTTTTTTTAAAGTCACTCATATTTGTGTACACAGTGTCAAAAAGTTTTAGTTCAAGTCGCCAATACCATTTTAGAAACCACAGTAAATTCACTAAACTCCTTTGCCTTGTCTGCCTTGTTTACTCACTCAAAAATGTCCTACAGGTGCAAATTATAATACCTAATTGCATTTCATTTAACAAGCAGTCTGAGAAACAAGCAGATAAATACAAATATTTAATGCTGAAAGCCAGCTGATCTAGAATGATCTAAAATGACACACAGACATTCAGAACGACCATTCCTCAGAGAGATAAAAGTGCAAACTCTAAGATGATAAGGTCTCACTGTGAGGGTCAGAAGAATGTGACAACAGCAAGGATTTGGAGCAATGCCAGTAGGGGCATCTTCACAGCAGAAAAACTGAGGTGGACATTTGCAAACCGCTCTCAAGGTTGTTTTAAAAAAAAATCTCTTGTTCTCAGAAAAGGAGGGAAAAAAAGGTGGGAGGAGCAGAGAAGTACAGTCACACCTCTGGAAGAGCTCTGATACCCTGCACGGAGGAGCTCACTTGCTGCCTCCACCCAAAAAACAGGGACTAGATATTAGAAAGGGGCCAATATTTTGCTGACTCATGCAAAATGCACCCTTGGCTCTTTGTCAGTCAGTCAATAAATAAGTATTAAGTGCCTACTATATGCCAGGCACTGTGAACCACTGATATTTGTGGACCTTGGACGAATTCGTAGGGAATCAGAGGTTATTATAATAATGACTTCTGACAAGGTCCAGAGACTCCCACGCTAGGCTTAGCCCACGTTTTCCATCCACCTTACCCCCTAGTCCCTGTCCCCAAGTGCTCACCTTCCTTCCTCTCCCAGCGATCCACGGAGAAGTTGGCGCCCCGGTCCAGCTGCGCTAGCGCTTGGCACACCTGAGCCTGGGTCTCCATGATCAGCAGCTCCATTTGGGTCTTCATGTCCCCCTGCCGGGCCCGCAGCTCGGACAGGGCAGTCACGGGCTGGGCCATGAAGGAGCTGCAGCGGAGGGCCAGCTCGTCTGCCCTCTCCCGAACGCCCGAGACGCCCTCGGTTCTGGGAACCATCTCGGCCCGCGCCAGGTGCTGGAGAGAGGCTGCGGCCACCCCGGCCAGCCCCGCTGCCAGCCCCGCCACTAGCCAAGGGGCTCTCCTCGCTCCGCCCCCGACCCCGGCTCCTCCAGTGCCGGGGCCGTAGCCCAGCCCCCGAGCCCCGCCGGAGCCAGGCCCTCCGAGGGGAGTCCCGCAGAAGCGTCCAGTCGCGGGGCCTGGGGGCCAGGCGCGCGGCCGTGGGCTGCCGCACCCCAGCGCCGTGCTCCAAAAGCGGCTCCCGCTCAGCCTTCCTAGGGACGAGGCCATGTTCCCCAACACCTTCGCTCCTGCTCCAGCCCAGCGCAAAGTGCCGAACCCCACGAGCCGCCCAGGTGCAGAGGAACGAGGTAAAGGGAAACTATACCGGGACCCAGTGCAGAGGCCACATGAAGGGGGCGGGGTGAGCGGGGATGCTGGGATTTGTAGTCCGGCCGGCCCCTAGAGTTTCTTGGTACGCGAAACCTCTGGCCTCCAGGGACCCACTGATAAAGAATCGGCTCCCTCGCTGCAGGGGAGATAAAGACTGGGAGTTTAGGCAGGACTGCTAGGAGGCAAGGGCCCAGAGACTGGTCTTCTAGATAGTCCTCCGCCAAAGGGAGGCTGTTTAAACAGCCTCTAGCAGCTGGGGGAGGAAAGTCCGATTGAAAGGCGTCATTACTTGTTAGGGCTGGACGAGAACTCAGTCTTTGGGTCCAACACCCTCATTTTAAAAAACTGAGTCCCGAAGAGAAAAGTGACTTGTATGATAGTAATAATAAATCAACAACAACAACAACAATAATAATAATGACTGAATCTGGAAAAGTGACATGTATAATGATGATGATGAGTCCCGAAAAGAAAAGTGACTTGTAAAAGAAAATGAATTAGTATTTAATATAGCCTTTTAAGATTTGCAAAGTACTGTAAATATATCATCTTATTTGATACAACAAAGGTAGGTAAATAACATTATACTACAATTATAACAAAAAGACATATCATAAGATACATAGTGCACATAGAAACCTGGACCACGTTCTCACAGCAATGTACCCAATAAAAAGTGGCTACACACTTATAGGAACCTTTCAGGCAAACTCATGAGAGGAAAACTCCTTTGCTTCAGGTAAGTCACAGCTCTGGGCTTCAGGCTTCAAGGTTATTGGTCCATTCAGGAACATCAATAACACACTAAGCAGCACCTCTGCCTGGTGCTTGAGTGTTGGTCCTAACCATTCTTCAGTTAGGTAAATTTCATCTCTACTTGGACATAACATTTACAAACTCCTTTTTTTTTTTTTTTGGTGAGGCAATTGGGATTAAGTGACTTGCCCAGGGTCACACAGCTAGTGAGTGTTATGTGTCTGAGGCCGAATTTGAACTCAAGTCCTCCTGACTTCAGGGCTGGTGCTCTGTCCACTGTTCCACTTAGCTGTCCCCTACAAACTCTTTCAACTAATCATCATCCTTAAAAAAAGGCATTCAGAAGGTGTTAGCCCTTAATGTGAATGGAAGTTCTCTTTTAGATAGTGGTCTTCAAAGCTCATCACACTGGCAATCTCTGAGTTATACAAACCAGTCCAGTCATTTATTTCAGAAGCAGGTGGTCCAATCATAACGGAGCTCATGGCAACCCAGTTAAAGCGGCCTCCCTAAGTCAGCTACTGGGATTTCAAAACAGTGCAAAGCCCCCTCTACTTTTCTTTTGAGCCAGAGGGGGCAGCAGGGACTAATAGAGAAACTTCATCTTTCTTTAACTAAATCTAGGGGACCCGGAAGATTAATAGCTGTCCTTGGAGCTATTTGCTAATGAAATTGATGTTCTCTGATAAATCAAGAATCACCTGACTGCTTCTAACAGTGCTTCTCTGTTGGATTTACTGCACGTCCCATACATAATCTAGGACAGATTGGCAACCCCCCAACTTCTTCCTTTGTCTGTACCTTTGCACCAACAGTCCCACAGGTCTGGAATGTACTCTTTCCTTAATTCTACCTCATAAAGGTGCAGTTCCTGTCTTCCTTTAAGATTCAGCTCGTGCACCATCTTCTGCATGAATCTTTCAGGATCCTCTCAAATGTTAGTGTTCACCTTCCCAAATTACCTTGTATTTAACTACTTTGCATACATTTGGATTTATGAGCTTAAGATTTATGCTGTATATATTTTATATATGTATGCTGTCTCCTTTAGGATATAAACTCATTGTGAATTGGGATTATTAAAAAATTCTTCATATTTGTATTCCCATAGTTGAGGCTTAATACACACTTGTTGATTGTTTGATGTGCACAGGATATCAAAGACAAAGTAATTTGGGAAATCAGGAAACTGAAGGTCAGAGATGTTAAGTGACTTGATCAAGGCCACACAGGTAGTAAGTGGCAGATTCAAGATTAGAACTCCAAATTTAGCACTTCCAAGTACAGTGCACTTTCTGCTGAACCATAATGAAGAGGAAGAGAGCAGCGCTAACAACCTTGGGGATCAGCAAAGTCTTCTCTTATGGGGCTTGGGGAAGGAAGAGTTTGTAAATAGTAAAATGCACTACCAAGACCAGTTCCTATTACTTGTATTTCTTGTTTGACAGGTGGAGTGCCAGAGGCGGTACAAAGTAAAACATGTGCCAGGCTAGCCATTGGAGGCTAAGGTTTTAATTTGTCTAGGACAACATTTAGCCATTTCTACAGTGGAGGGAACTTAATAAATGCTAAGTAAATATGTACTAAGTAAACCTGTCTGTGTTTTAACAGTTAGAATTTAATTGCATATGATTAACTGTCCAAAGAGATGAATAAATTACCTTTTGGAGGGTAAAAAATACAATATTTAGAGGCAGATTAACTTCCCCAAGGTACTCTGTATGTATATAAGACAGCTGCTAGGCGTCCTCCTTTGGGTGGGTGTGATAGAATATATGGGGAAGTCTGGCTGAGGCCCTTTTGGGTGAGATTGAGTAATATCTGCTTGGTCAGATAAGCCTATAGCCGTGGACCGCAGCAGTCCCTCTCTCCACACTTGCTCCCTTACCGCCAACTGCCAATCTTACTTCCAGCCTGGCTTTTGCAGCCATAGGCAAGGGAACAAGCAAACTCTGTTGGAGATACCTCTTGGTAACTTTCTCTGTAGCCCTGGCCTACTCAGCAGCCACAGCTACCTGAGACCAGATCAAAGTCCTTGGCCCCCTCAAATCCTTGGCATTGCCAAGTGGTTCAACATCAGAAACCAATATGCTTTCATTAATGGAAATGGTATTAAAGAAGATACATTGCCATCTGTTTTGTTGCTAGATCTCAAGAACCACAGAGCCTTTCTGTCTGACTTGCAGCTGAAACCTTCGTCTGTGTTGTCTCCTTCATTAGAGTGTGGGCTCCTTGAGAGTGTTAATCTGAAAGTTTGGTTAAAGAAGGCAAACAAGTTAGGTGATACATGATTATATAGTTTATTCCCTTTTAGCTAGCGAATCATGTTAACATGGAAGCCAGAATGTGATTCTGATTTGGAGATTAAGCAAAATGAGAGAGGTTTTATACAGTTTAGAGTGATCAGACTCAGGATTTCTGTGTTACAAAAATACAGCCTCCATATGTTTGTTTAACATATAGCATGGGAAAGGAATTTTCTTAATTGAATAAGGTTGTAAATACAATAAAACAGAAGAATGTCAAAGTGTCCATAGAAACTCAAGATAAGAAAAGTCCCATTATTCAAAGAGAGTATCTGGTCCCAGACATCCTGGTCTTAGTTGATCAGTTCTATCTGTTCCTGGAATTTGCTGACACAGGAAGGGGTATTTTTAGTTCACTCAGAGAGAAAAAGATTAATTCAGGTTTTTTGGCCCTTATTGGGGCTCAATTGATCTTAAATGATTATTAAGAGCAAGGACTGTCTTGATTTTCATCTTCCCACAGTGCTTAATAATCACTTAATAAATGTTCTTCCTCCCTCCCTCCTTTCCTTTCTTCCTATCTTCCTCCCTTCCTTTCTTTTTCCTTGTTTTTTTTCCCTTCCTGTCTTCCTCCCTCCCTTCCTTCATTGAAAGGGAATTTCATGCTAGACTCTGGTTTTTCATTATCTGATCTTAAAAGATCCTATAAAAAGTCAATTTATCTCTAAAATGTGAACATGCAATTCAGTTCAATTTAACAAACATTAATTAAGGGTCTACTTCACGTAAGAAACTGTGGTATATGCTCAAGATACAAGGACAATCCCTGCTCTTAAGGACTTTACATTGTACTGTTGAAAAGGGGAAATGTGCTGTACAACATGTATATGAGTAAATATGATATAATTTGGGGAGGGAGAGAGCATTAACAACTAGAGAAGGCTTAGGAAAGAAGAAAAGGGTTTGCATAGGAGGGTGTTCCCTGAGCCTTAAAGGAATCCAGGGATTCTAAGAGCCAAAGGTGAGTAGGGGGTACATTCCAGAGAGAGACAAGTGATGAAATGGTAGATCTGGGAGCAGCTGAAAGGCTAGTTAGTTATACATAGAGTAAAAGGACCGGTATCCCACTAAGTACATCACAAGAGTTTTCTGTGCGTTCATTTCTTGTATATTTTTATTGTTTGCCTTTGAAACTCAAGTTTCGTGTTGTGAGTAGTGCAAGTCCTTTGGGCTCTAAAGTGATGTTCAAATCTTTCCAGTCTTGATGTCTTCTGACAACAGTGACTAAAATCCTAGGAATCTCTCCTTTGGTTTGCAACAGTATAGTATACAGTATATAGTATACACCCTCACACTGCCATCTGACACAGTGGAAGGTGAGATTCAGGTTGAAAATGTTTTATTTTTTAAAATTTAAAATTTTATTTAAATTTAAATTTATATTAAATTTAAAATTTTATTTTTTGTTGTGATATACAATTTTAATGGAATGTTATTGTACTATAAGAAATGACAAGCAGGATGATTTCAGAAAAACCTGCAAAACTTACGTGAACTGATGCTGAGTGAAGTGAGTACAGCCAGGAGAACATTGCAACATTGTTTGATGACCAACTTTGATAGACTTAGCTCTTCTCAGCAATGCAATGATCTAAGACAATTCTGAAAGACTCATGATGGAAAATGCTATCCACATGCAGAGAGAGAACTATGGTGTCTGAATGCAGATTGAAACATACCATTTTCTCTTTTTTTTTTTTTCTTGTGGTTTTCCCTTTGGTTCTGATTCTTCTTTACAACATGACTAATGTGGAAATATGTTTAATATGATTGTACATGTATAGCCTATATCAGATTGCATGCTATCTTGGGGAGGGGAGGGAGGGGGAAAAATTTGGAACTCAAAATCTTATAAAAGTGAATGTTGAAAACTAAAAATTAACTAATTAATTAATTAATAAATAAAAAAATAAAGAGACTGGCAAAAAAGAATTTTGTTTGTTTTACAATATTTATGATACTGTTTATTTCATGTGTTATGAAAAGTGAACATTGTCTGAAGTCAATGTTCCTTTTTTTAATCAAGGTGTTAGCACAGA